AATACAAAAATATATCAAATCCATTTTATATTATACAAGAAGACATAAATTAAGCATTATCGCAAAGAAAACAACTATTTTCTGTCGAACGCAGCCAGTTGCAGTGATGCTCAATTGAAGAACATTAAACCTGTTTTCTTAATCATTTGCTCATTTCCCATTTTAAGTTACGTTTATGGGATATAGAATACATGTAAAACGTCAACCAGGATCCTTTTAAGAATTTATTATTGCAAACTATGCAAGCTTTCGGCATGATTAGCACTTATTTTATAATAAAAATACACTTTAAAGGGTCCCATTCACCTCGTTCTTCTTTGCCGTTTTTAACCGACGGTTAAAAACGTTGGAAGGAAAAACGTTGACTGATATGTCCACACACAACAGTTTTTTTCGCGCCAGTTTATCACGATGGACCCTACGTGCTTGTTAGCAGTGGCAGCGGTTTTGGCAGTGGAAAAAAATTGTGAAAAAATAAAATCTCGAAGAAAATGGACTAAAGACTGGCTACTTAAACGCAGTACACTGTCACAAACAAATTTACTGGAGGAGCTAAGATTGGAGCCTGGTGATTGGCACAATTACTTGAGGATGGACGATGATACGTATCGGAAACTGTTAAAACTATTAACACCGTTAATTGAGAGACATAATACCCATTTACGGGAATGCATCAGTCCTCACGAACGCCTAACAGCTACTCTGCGGTTTCTGGCCACTGGCCGCAGCTACGAGGATCTGAAGTTTTCTGTTATTATTTCACCGCAGGCACTAGGGTGCATAATACCCGAAACCTGCCAATCTCGATAAACTCTAATAAAAAATCTCTGTTCCACTGCTTAATATTCGACATTTTTATTGTAAATAATAATAAACAACAAAAACATGCTGAACGTCACTGCTACTAATAAATGCCCGACCAGTCAAACTGTTGAGAACATACACCCCGTGTTTACTCGAACGGTTGTCACGATAACCGTCAAAAATCAAGACTCGCCTGAAATTTTGGAACGACGTTCATAAACGACGTTCTTGCCCATACACCTCGTTTTTGTGACATTTTTACCCTGACGTTTTTAACCGTCGGTTAAAAACGGCGGAGAAGAACGAGGTGAGTGGGGCCCTTAAAAGTTTATCAAAGAGACACCTCGTCCACATTGTCTCTGGAAGCCACAAAAAAATATCTTTTTAAAAACGAAAACAAGACGTCAAATGAAATGTCATTTATCACAAATACGCGCGTTATTTAAATTCGCCAATCATAAACCGTAACATAACCATTCAGTTTGGATTGCCTAATTAGACATTCCAAACAAAGTGGCTATCAGTGGGTTTTGTTAGGTTATGATATGGCAAAATTATGGCAACCCTATAAGCCTGGTGATTTGAAAAGGTCAATGAAATAGATAGTAACATAGATTGATCATCCATATTTTTTAAAATAGACATAAGCTTATGCCTTGAAGTAAGAATGTAAGTAAATATTTTTTTTTACTATATTCAAAGGCTAATATTGGCTTGTAAACACATTTTTGTAAAATCGATTCTGATTAATGAACACTTGCGAGACAATATGGCCATTCGCAAACAATCCGCTTTGAGCAAACTAAAGAACTGTATATGTATCATTGACCCTGTCGATGAGAACAGGCTCACAGGGTTGCCGTATCTAAATGTCAGTTCCCACTTGTTAGCAGTTTGAAAAGTCGTTGAAATGCCTAATTAGGCATTTCAACGACCTGTTGACAAGTGGGAACTGACATTTTAGATATGGCAACCCTATGAGCCTGTTGTCATTGATAGGGTCAATGATACATATATAATTATATAGATTGCTCAAAGCGGGTCGTTTACGAGCGGCCATATTGCCTCCCAAGTGCTCATTAATTATAATCGATTTTGCAAAAATGTGTTTACAAGCCAATATTTAGCCTTTGAATATAGCAAAAAATAATTACTTACATGTTTAATAAGCTTATGTCTCTGCTTATGTCTATTTTGAAAAATATGGATGATCAATCTATGTTACTATCTATTTCATTGACCTTGTCAAATCACCAGGCCTACAGGGTTGCCATAATTTGGCCATATCATAACTTGGTAGCCGTTTTGTTTGGAATGCCTAATAGCAGGTTTGTTCCAACACAAAAGCAAATCGGTTTACGTACTGTCGGGATTCTGCGCAGTCTAGATTTGATGTTCCAACAAACCTCGGACCACATACTTTGATTTTCTTTTACTATACGGAGAATGGTCGCACTGCTCAGCTTTCTGAGTGCCTTTTAAAAGGAGATAGAAAACTCCGCCATTTTGAACCCTTATTACGTGTTGCCTACATCTTGGCGCAATATTTTTAATAGGTGCGTTTTAATCATCCGCTTCTGCTTCGGAATTGCCGGTTTTCTTGTTTTAATCTGACAGGTTAAAACGACTAAACCGACAATTCCGGAAGCAGAATCGGATGATTAAAACGCACCTGATATTTTGCTTGCTGCTGTCAGTGAATATTATTTTTGAAGTCACAGTTTATTGCTAAAGAATCAGTTAGCTCACTCGGACCAGTTGAACTTTCCAAAATAACATCCACTCCAGGGATACAAATTCAGGATACGCAGAAGACTGCTGTTTTATTATAGGCGGTTGTCATATATTGTATTATCCGAGTTGCACAGTGTATAAACTGAAACATTGAGATCCAAAGTGTCGACGCAGAGTAAGCGATCTGATTCTTTAGCTGTAAACTGTGTCAGAGGGTTCAAAATGGCCGCGTCCTATGTTGGGCGTGTCGGACCTCTCTCTTGCCTCGTAGAGTAATCAAAGTATGTGCCTCGGACTCAAAACTGTACAAAAACCTAGTGTTCCAACATACTCAAACCTTATCACAAACCAGTTTCTGTACTGTCAAATCAGTTCCTGGGTCTGAATAGGAACGAATTTGTCAAGACATGCGCAGAATGAAAGTGAGATCGTAAATAAATCACGACCAACTCTGGAAATGTGATTATATTCGTTTTGATAGCATCATCGATCATAGTCTCGATCGTTATTTGATTTTTATTCATTATCATTATTTATAGTATATTATTGAGTATACAAAGAAAGAGTATTGAGTGTAGAAAGAAAAAAGGACTATTATTCTGACTTAGATACAGTAAAAAATAAAATAAGTTAATGTACTAATCAGTCGAATAATCAAAATTTATAAATCTTTTAATGAGTTTTAATATTTTTATTTACCAAATTTAAAATTTAACATCTATTAATGTTTTTTTTTCTTTTACGTTATTGACAGTGTGTCTGACAACAGAAACATGTGTTCCAACACAACCAAGTTCCGAATTTAGTCCCAATCATCGACAGGTCGTAGACTGGTCGTCGATAATAAGTTGTGGACTGGTTTGTGTATGGTTCCAAGATTGTTGTTGGAACAAACCTAGCAAATATTTCAGAAAAGGGTGCTGTCGTAATCATATGAAGTTGTTTGAAGGTGCACGCGTCTATTTGTTTTTAATTAAGGTAAAATCAAATTTTTCATGTTGGTAGAACTATTTAAATTTTATGTGAAACTTCAAATTTGACTGATTTTTGTTTGATAAATGCCTAATTATGATGTAAGATCATATATTATGTATTGTCAATTTTTTTTGTTGTTTAGTTCAATCATTATAATTATAAACTAGCAGTGTTATTGAAAAAGTTTTTTATCTATGACAGTTTATTTAAGGTAGGTGTTAAAAATTTTAAATAACTACTATAAATTTTAATTAACTGAAATTACCGGCAGATTTTAATATAATAGTTGAGACTTTATGAAACATGGGGAAATCTAGATCTACAATATAATTATAATTCAACATTTCTCTAAATTCGAAATAGTCCTACAATTATAATTGACGATCTTCTAGCAAAATCTAAATCACAGATTACCTAGATGCGAAACCCGGCAGAAGATCAGAGGATTTTGAAATGGGATTTCTATGACCTTAAACTTTGAATGGGTAGAGCATAGGTGTTGTAAATTTTAATAGTTTTCAATCATTCTTACTCAATATGACTTTTTTCTGACCATGCGTTAAGGATGCCAGGGTTGGTTTAAGTAATTGATGGTTTATTATAAAGAAGTATCTAATGGTGTTTAAAAATATGTCGATGGGAGTTTCATTTTCAAACCGGACAGCAACACAATATTTGTTTTTAATATCAATTAAGTAACACATCATTTGAAAGCTAATTTCATTGCGTTACTTTTGTTTTTAACGCCCTCTGTCTAGGGGGATAAAAACTGTTACGTATTCTAAGGTGTGACACTTTGTTTAAAAAATACTTTTTAAAGTAATTTAATGCACAATATAACAAATAAAAATTTAATGAACCCTGAACCAAAATAATTTTAAAGTCGTGCAGATCTCTAACCTCAAAAAATACAAACATTAATTACAATTAACTAAAATAACAATTTTAAGCTACCATTAAATCCTACTGTAGCTTTCAAATGAAGTTTTACACTTTACCATATGTTTTTTTTTTCCGCAAGATGGCGCTAAAATTAAAAAAGTACCGCAATGAATTATAATATTGCTGAATTCTTTATGAAATTACCTTCCTTTTTAAAAAAATAGAGATATGCAGCCGGGCTGCGTGTTGGCATTGTTTACTATGCTGCAACGCATACATATTGTTGCAACGCAGTAAAGAATGAATGAACAGTCGCCTCTCTATACCTAGACATATCTTACTGCGAATCAGCACTGGCGGTGTTTAAACGTAGTAACTATTGTATTATGGATTCTTGAGGCATTGTTTACCGCGTTCCAACTCAACATCGAGCGTTTTTATGCCGCCGACGCACCAGCTTGTACCAGTAACTGATTGTTAAGTTGAATTTTGAATATTTGAATTATTGTCAGTTAGGAACTGTATGCAAATAAACAGCGATGACAGAAAATAATTAGCAAGAGCAAGAATTAGGAGAGAACATATCCCCAGAATTGTATGATGACATGTCAACTGATGTGGATATAAGAAATAACTTACCAATTAGTGCAGAGCAACAAAGCATAGTTGAAAAACAGAATAATCTTACTATCGAAATAATCAATACTGTCGATAATAACAATAATACAAATTTAGATAAAGAGCATTCCGCAGCTGAAACAGAACTATCGGAACATTGTGAACACATTAGTAAAATAGCATCCAAAAACAAACGGTTGATATGACTAATGCCATGAAAAAATTTAATAAAACTCTAAAAAGAATTATGACGCCCTCTGACTTATTTAATTTTGTTCACATATCAAAAAATATCCCACTAAAAAGGAACATTTCGATACAGCCAACATCAGTTAGCCGCAGGAAAATTAGTGTGGTTTATCATGCGGCGCAAAGCGCATTCAAGCTAGAAGGCTATCCAAGAAGGAGATACCAAACAACCCTAAAAGACAAAGATCTTTAAAGAAAAATATTGATCTTAATAGACGAAATGCAAAATCACATGGAAATGCCCACTAGGATTAAACTTCGTATGCTTACCATTTTATAAGTTTTTTTTTAGGTAAATATAAATTTGCGTAGTTTTTAACTGCAACGCGGTAAACAATGCCTTGAGAATGGCAGCGTATCCATAATACAATAGTTAGTACGTCTGAACACCTTCCAGTGCTAAGTCGCAGTAAGATTTGTCTGGGTACAGAGAGACGACTGTTCATTCATTGTTTACTGCGTTGCAACAACATGTATGCGTTGCAGCATAGTAAACAATGCCAATACGCAGCCGGGCTCCAGACAATTCGTCCCCTTGCCAATTAAAGTTGTCGCGTTTTGGTTTTTCTGTTGGTCTATATACATCAGACCTTGCATCAGATTCAGTTGTATTTTTTGCTCCAAAAAAATTCAAAATACCAATTTAAATTTTTCTTTAGTTTTTGACGATATTAATCCTGAAGGACTCGTAAAAACTGGACTACATTTCTTACAATTTGAGCCGAAAACCGTTCTCGTAGATCTAATATTTTCCAAACTACAGATTTTTAAAATTTAGCAGTTTTCTCGACCTCGGAAATTTTTAGAAATATTTTGTTGTTCTTTTGGAATGTCCTCCTTGGTGGCCTATTTTCTACGAGACATTCTCCCCTCCCTTCTCCTAATGGAAGCGTTAAAGATAATTGAAGGGACCTATAGATCTGTATCTGTAATGTGTGCAGGGTGGGTTACCCCACGGCACTAAGGCCTCATTAGGCCTATTGTGTATCCTCTTGAGAAGATAGGCACCTCCTAACTCGTGAGCCAGCCTACAGATTTAATGTAGTTGACAACGTCGGCAAGAAGTGCTTCTTTTATATCGGCCGGTATTAGCCGATACTCGCCAAACACAAATCTTCTAATAAATGAGAGGGTCGAGCAATCGTAAAGAATATGCTTGATGGTCTCATCTTCTTGTTCGCACCCTCTTCAGAGGGCGGATTCTGACAGCCCAATGATATGGAGATGCTTTCGTACTTGGCAATGACCAGTCAGAATGCCTGTTACTGCAGTGTTGTCAGGATAACTTAAGAACTCCCTGGCAACTCTGCAGTTTCTAGTTTCATCCCATCTTTCCCATCTTTCCGGAGTGAGACTAAGAATGACTTCCATGGCTCTAGTCGGTGTTGTTTTCATGGCTCCTGTTATGTTGAGACATGCTGTTCTTTGAATTTGTTCTAGTTCACGGATAGTTGTTAATTTTTATGTTTTTGGAACCCAGACAACTGCACCGTATGTTAGCATAGGTCTTATGATAGCCGTGTAAGTCCATGCGACGACTCTGGGGGAGAAACTCCAGGTGCGCCCCATGGTTCGGGGTCATTGTTCATAAGCAATGTATGCTCTTTTAACTAAATTCGAGTTCCATGTTAACTTGCTGTCAAAGGTGAGACCTAGGTACTTCACCTCTGTTGCAAAGTTTAGTTTTGTGTTTAGGAGTTCTGGAGGTTTTAATTCCATTTTTAACCTTTTCCTTGTGAAAAGGACCATTTCTGTCTTCTTAGGATTGGTAGACAGTGAATGGTCCTTGCACCACTGTTCTATAATTTTTAGAGCTACTTGCATTCTTTCGCAGAGTATGTTCTCAAAATTCCCTGTTTGCAGAATGACCAGGTCATCTGCATATGCTATTTGTATAGTGACTGAGATTATTTAGGCGGCTGATTAGAGTGTCGAGGACCATATTCCACAGTAGAGGTGATAGCTCCCCTCGCAACCAAGTCTTATATTCTCATCTTCTACACTTATGTTTATTGCTCACTTTGAGAGCATGTTATGTATCTACCCACTAACCATTTGTGGAACATTCCTATTGATTGGTGAGTGCATTGTCTTTGTCAAGGTGGTTTTATCAAAAGCACCTTCTATGTCTATAAAAACACTCAAGGCGTACTCCTTCTTGTCCAGGAATCTTTCTTTCCAGCCAGCAACTACTGCCTACGGCCTACTGAATCAGTAGATCTGCCTAGGGTGTATGCATGTTGGTTTGGGTATAGTGGTGTTGTTGTAATCACCGCATCCCTTATGTATCTTTCGCATAGCCTTTCCAATTTTTTCATGGAAAACGATGTCAGACTAATTGGTCGGTATGTTTTTGGAACAGTGTAATCCATCCTTCCAGGTTTGGGTATAAATACCACTTTTACCATTCTTCATTTTTTGGGGATATACCTCAGAGCCAACGAGGATCTGAATATACCCACCATGTGCGGTGTGACCTATAGATGAATCACCTTCTAGATTTTTCATATTTTTTATTACCTACTATTTCTGTTCTTTTTGTTAACATCCATCTATGTAAAACATTCTAAAAAGAACAATATTTTGCTCCTTTTGAGAAAAAATATTTTAATTTCATTGTCAAAAAATTTACACAAAATCAAAATACATTGTAGTTCGGTCAGGGCTAGATTTACAAAAACCTATCTGCCCACCAAAAATATTATTGCTATTAAATCTGCACCATTGCTGTGAATCACAACTTGTAGAATACGCCCAATATGCAAATTTCACAATGTCTGAGATAATCAGTGCGAGGTTAATGACTCTAAAGATAGTAGACTACACTGGTATTAACAAAATTCAATATTGAATAATTACTATAAGAACGAAGCCGGGTAATGTTCTTTTTGAATTTACTGTTAGATATAATAATAAGGATTTTATTATTATTGGTAGTCTAAACAGGTTAAATCTTTATGAAAATCAAAATTCTTGTATAAGTGACTTCCCTTAGATATCTATATATTATATTGCTATTGTAAAAATATTTTACCGATTTAATTTATTATAATTGTTTTTTAAACAAATAGACTAAAAATCAGTAAGCTTTACTTATAATGTAATAATTCATTTTTTATAATTATTTAACAAACGAAAAGAAATAAAATCTTCTATTGTTTCCACTTGTTTCAATATTTGATCGAAAATTTTAATTTAATTTTAATTTGTAGCTTTTACAAATAAACAAACATTGAAGCATAATGTAGAAGTAAAATATATACCTCATGAACCTGTACTACGTTACGCATATTAAGTTACTGCAATCCTTCTTCTCTAGTTTATAGTAGGGGTATGAGTAATTGAACTGTCACGAGATATTTAGGCCATTAGTGGCATAGTTGAGGAAAATTCGTTGTCGTTGTCAAAATACAGGGTGTTTCGTTTAAAGAATGACCTTGATATCTCTTCTGTGGGTATGGTGCACCTGTATAGTTGATTTTATTTTAGGAATGTAGCTTATTTTGGTGTTATACCGTTCAACTTTTAGGGGTAGTATGCGACATCAAAATAATCAATTTTTGCTTTTTAAAGTTATGTCTGGAAATACTTCATTTCCGAAATCCGAAATAAAGAGAATTTTATATAAAAATTTGAAATTTTCATAGTTTTGACTCATGATTCTTTTTCTAACTATAAATACAACAAAAATGGTGTCACCCGGTACAAATTTGTTTTTAATTGAAAAAATAGTATATCGACATACATTTTTACTAATAAGTAATAACAAAAACCTTTTACTACAAAAAATTGGTTTTCAATTGTTTCTTTTTCACTATACAGGTCATTAAAATAAATACGATTACGGTTACACACTGAAGCTAAGTGACCTTTTGTATTGCATTTGTGGAAAATGCAGTTCTTGAATGAACAATTGCTTGATTTGTGGGTTTTGCGAGCATATACTACAATTCACTAACTGCAGTGATTTATTTTGAAATTCTTGCCTTGATGAATCTGTTTTTGAAGAATAACCATAATTTGATGTCTTCTTTACATCTCTATTTTTAACAAAAGGAGGATATGCTTTTGATAGGGAAATACCAAGGTTATTAGCCTCGTGTTCTGTGTAGACTTTGTTACTGTTTCCCACCGCCACTTTAGTAACAACACTGTTAATTAGAACCCAACAGTGAATGGTCGAGTGGGGAATCCTACTAAGGCATCAGAATTAATTTTAAATAGTTAAATTAAATGAAAAAATTCCGGCCAACGGTGGGATTCGAACCTGGGACCCTTGGATCCGCAGGCAGAGACTATCACTGAGCCACCCACTTATTAATAACAAAAAGTGTGAGTCGTTTTCTTTTCAATTCGTTTATTATTTAGTCAGCATATTTTTTTATTGTATCGTTTTCTCTTCAGTTCGTTTATTATTTAATTAGAATATTTTTTATTGCATAATTCTTTGTTAAATTCGTTTATTATTTAATTAGTTAATTTTTACAGTTTTTGTATCTATATTCGATAATTTTACATGGCCCCCAATAAAGTGTTTTGGGTGTGATGGGTACATCAATAAAAAAAGTACTTTAAAAGCGGCCAACAATGGAACCTACCGGCAGTTTCTACTGAATATTTGAACACGCAGAGAAATTGACTGGGTAGAGCCTGGAGGAAACTCGCACATTTGCACCCAATGCTATGCTACGTTTCGACGACAAGGTAGAGTAAAGCAATTTTTATAGTAGCAACATAATAAATCTTGTTTGTTTTTATTCTTAAGGCAATGAAATAAGACAAACTAATACCCAACAAGATCCTATTCCCATCATTGAGAATGTGTACAACGACGAGGTAGACATTGAAAATGGTAAAAGGAATGTCGAAAACATTAGAAATGTACCGCTCAAACTGACAAATAATCAAAAGTCTTCTTGCGTGTGCGGTGTTATTAGACAGCAGCGT